TCTCCCCCCTGCTCCGCCCATCCTGCAGGGTTGAGGTATTTGCTCTGGCTGTCTGGCCTCTTTCCTTTCCTGGAGCTGGCTCAGATCACAGAGTGGGATTGGGGTCAAGTTCTGGGGCCACGAAGGGCAGCCAGAGACAAATAGATCCTTGGGCAAAAGGGAGCAGGTCCCCAATAAGGCCCTACCTTCAGTCCAGCGAGGGCGTGAGGGCTGGGGGCGAGCCACCAGTGCTGCAGAGCAGTGTGGGGACGCATGGTGCCACTTATAGTAAGTAGCCCATAGGCACACATGGACCCATCACCATGCACTTCCTACCCTCTGAGGTCCATAAAAGCCCTGGGCTCAGCCAGAGCAGGGCAGAGGATGGCCAGAGGACAAAGAGGGTAGAGAGACTCTACATAAGGACCAGCTGCAGAGAGGAGCTACCTTCTCTGCTGAGAGCTTCGGAGACAACCTGCCAGCAGAGAGAAGCCACCCTCTCCAGGGCCTCCTCTCTTCTGAGAACTCAACTCTGGAGAGATGATCTTCCTACAGAGAGGATGTACCCACTGTGGGTCTCCTCTTAACACTCAGTAAAGCTCATCTACATCTTGTTCACTCTTCACTTGTGTGCATACCTCATTCTTCATGGATTCAGGACAAGAATCTGGGCAAAGGTGTTGTGGCCACAGAGGTTTCTGGGCAGGAAATGGACACCCCAAAGCTCACTGACAATAACATGATCATGACTAAATGTATTTTATCGAGGGAATGAAAGGTGGTTCAACACTTGAAAAACAATCATTGTAATACACCACATCAATAAATTGGAAGAAAAACCGTATGATCATCTTCACAGATACAGCAAAAGCATTTGACAAAATGCAACATTCACTCATAATAAAAATTCTAAGCAAATTAGAAATTAAACTTCCTTAACTTGCTAAAAGGTATCTTTTAAAAATCTACAGCTAACTTCCTAATTGTTGTTGAAACACTCCATGTTTTCCCTCATAAGTAGGAAATAAGTCAAGGATTTCTGCTTTTGCCACTCCAAGTCAATATTGCAGTGGCAGTCTTAGCAAGTGTAATAACACTATAAAAGAAAAACAAGTCACACAGATTAGAAAGTAGGAAATAAAACCGTGTCTATTTACAGTTTCACACGGAGATTTCAAACAGAATTAGGACCCACATATAGTCATTAAATACTTCTCAGTTTTGATAGTTATTAGTTAAAATTGTTGCTTTTATTAATATTTCATAAGAATAAAAGTCATAAGATATATCAATTTTTAAATAGTTTATAATTCAGGAAGTTAAGAAATTCTTATGGCTTTTCTCTTAAGCTAAATTGCTGAATTCTTTGTTTTGTTTACCTTTTCTGAAAACTCTCTCATGCCCTCTGCTGCCCATTTATTGAACATAAATCATTAAATAAAATATTCATTGACATTTACATCTAGATGGTAAGAACTCCTCTGCACATTTGATTATTTGAGTCAGTTTTAGGAAACAATATATGCTCAGAAATGCTTTAAAATTCTTATTATAAATATAATATATTTTCACTATTGATAACACACAAAAATTACAGTAACCACTCATCGTATCACTGCTTAAAAGATAACCACTGTTATCAAGTGGTATATACCCCTCTGGAATTGTTTCCATGAAGCATAATTTTTATTTAAATTTATTATTATTATTACACAATTGGGATCATACTGTATATGTAATTTTATATCTACTCTTTTCACTTTATATATGGAATATTTCCCATATCAAAATATAATGTTTAAATTGTTGCATAATATTTCAGATATATACTAATTTATGTAATACTCTCCTATTTGGGAGCATTTAAAAACATTTATTTTGAGACAGAGTTTTACTCTTGTTGCCCAGGCTGGAGTGCAATGGCACGATCTTGGCTCACTGCAACCTCCGCCTGCTGAGTTCAAGCAATTCTCCTGTCTCAACCTCCTGAGTAGCTGGGATTACAGGTGCCCACCACCACAGCCAGCTAATTTTTGTATTTTTAGTAGAGATGGTGTTTCACCATGTTGTCCAGGCTGATCTCGAACTCCTGATCTCAGATGATCCACCTGTCTCGGCCTCCCACAGTGCTGAAATTACAGGCATAAGCCACCACACCCCACCAGGGAGCACTTAAATCGATGCAATTATTTTCTGTTACAAGTAACTCTATAAAACAAAATTACTTGAGCATCCCTAACTTTATGCTTACGTACCTGTAAGTACAATTTCTGAGTCATGGAAAAAGCTTTTCATGCTTATTGCTGCATTGAACTCTAAAAATTTTATCCTAACTTAACACTGTTATCAGAAGTATATATTCATGACCACAGAAATGGCTTTTTATAACTGAAGATGTGAAAATAACTTAGAAACAAACTCTAAATATGGAGAAAAAGTTGTATATAATTTTCTGCTTATGAGGTGAATACTTTCATTTTTTCTTCAAAGGTGTCAGGAAAATAGAAGGACCTTTTGGTAGAGTGGTAAAAGGACCAGATCTTCTAATTGCTTAATCTTAATGTTTCTGAATCTGTTTTCTCATCTGTAGTGTGAGGAGAATAATTTCCCTCCTAATTAGTGAGGATACAGTAAGATGATGCATGTGAACATGGTTTGACAACTATAAAGTCATGTAGATGGAAGATACAACTTTTATTCATCACTGTTTGAATATCAAATTCATGACAGATTTGATATTCAGACTATTTTAAGGGTCTATAATTTTAAATATTTTATATCAATCTTAATATTAAATGTTCTCAATTTTTAACCTCATATGATCAGAAAAGCAAATTTTTGGTCAATTCTATGTGGTTTTTATTTGAAATAGTAAAATAATGATTATGCAGCATAGAAAATTATAGCTCAGTTGTCAATTCCATTAACTTAGTTTGTCTCAGAAAAGGAAAAATTACATAAAAACAGAATTATCTATTAAGAATTAACATTTAATCTAGGGCCGGGCGCGGTGGCTCAAGCCTGTAATCCCAGCACTTTGGGAGGCCGAGGCGGGTGGATCACGAGGTTGAGAGATCGAGACCATCCTGGTCAACATGGTGAAACCCCGTCTCTACTAAAAATACAAAAAACTAGCTGGGCGTGGTGGCGCGTGCCTGTAATCCCAGCTACTCAGGAGGCTGAGGCAGGAGAATTGCCTGAGCCCAGGAGGCGGAGGTTGCGGTGAGCGGAGATCGCGCCATTGCACTCCAGCCTAGGTAACAAGAGCGAAACTCCGTCTCAAAAAAAAAAAAAAAAAAAAAAAAAAGAATTAACATTTAATCTAAAAATGTCTAGACTTCTACAGAAAATTTGAATACAGTTTCAACTTCTTTAAGCCAGTGCTTTTCCCAAATTTCTTTTCAAAGTCACATCTGTCAGTTTTCATCAAAAAAAGTTTGAAGATTATTCTGAATAATTATGACTAATGAAATCCAAAGGCAAGGATAGAACTAATTCAGTGGGCCCTTGCTGAACCTGAGCTAGCACCTATAATGAGTGAGTCTTCACTGAAGGAAGAATAAGGAGGGAGGAAGGACTAAAAGGACAGAAAAGAAGCAATGATAAGTTAAGAAAACACTGAATTTTTAAAAAAGTAGTGGCTAGCAGAGAACCTAAGAGTTGAACCCATGAGGACTTTAACCCAGTCTATCTATCACACTAGCCCCAGGAATTCTGTTCATTGTAGGGGGTTCAATTTTTTAAGGGACTTGCATTTTAGAAAGATCAGTCTTGCAGGTTTCTTGGCTAAATAATTTAGGGAATAATTTTTAGGAGGAAGCAGGCACACACAGGGGAGAGAGAAACCAGGCAGGAAAGAAGAAAATAAATCGTTTTGTTCCCATTATTTTACTGGTCATAGAATCACAAAAGGTAAACACATACACGCACACACACCCCCCCCCCCCCACACACACACACACTCTCTCTCTCTCTCTCTCTCCTTACAGAGTCATTTAGAATCATCTTTCTTCATTTTAAACTAAATAGATGACACAGATAAAGCAGTGGTGGAACCAGGAAAATAATCTGACCCTTGTCTCTGCTCTTTCCACCGCACCACGGTGACTCTCTTTTATGTGCGTCTCTTTTTTTTAAGACTCTACAACAAAACTGAGGATCATTTGTAGTTAAAGAGATCAACGCTATTCTCAAAACAAGTTCTAATCTCTCATAATTTTCTTGGTAACTCAGAATCAATGTTAAGAACGTTGAAATAAAAATACAGTACTTTACGTGGTAATTTTGTAGACTGTGCACCATGTTCCCATCCATTTTCTTACTTGATCCTCACAAAAACCCTTTTTGAGGCATGGCAAGGAAGGTATTATTATCTTCAATTTTAAAGTGAGCAATTAAAACTCAAAGTAAGGTCACTTAGGGTCAGGAAGGAGCCAAGACTCTATTCCTGTATTTGGAATATAGGAGGGAGTACACCTCCAATGAGGCAATTCCGTCCAAAAGCACCAATCTGGCTCTTTACTGTATTGCCAAGGCAGTCTTCATCCCCTGGGGACGCCCCCACTAGGTTAGTGAAGCGTGCGTCTTGACATCCACATAGGTTACTCCAGTTTGCACCTAGTTGTCATCTTTAGAAGCGCAGTTTCTTACCCCTTCCCTTGGTCCTGATCCTTATTTAGGCTTCTATTTTCCTCTTTGGGATTTGGTCTCCTGGGTCTCACTCCAAAGCTCCACCTCTCCAAACAAGAAATCGCGTCCTTGGTATCCAAGGTGACCACGCAACTTTACTCACGTTGTCCTTTCCGCGCCTTCCATTGGCCAGTTGAACTCCCAAGAACCGCCCCTCCAATGGCCAATGGTCTTGAGACAAACGGTGCGCGCCTTTCCAGCGAGTCTAACACCTGCTTTCTTACCCTGTCTGTTCTGCGCATTGCCTCCTGGGATATGTGGTTTCTAAGACGCCAGAGCTCTGCGACTTTTCAACCTTTAGAACTACTTATCCCGTCGACCTTAGCGAAAGGGGCGGGGGTAGGCAAGAAGTCCAGGTCAGAGTGTAGAGCTTTCAAATTCCAACTTGGCCCTGAAGATTGAGCGGCGGATCTTTAAATCGCCTCCAGCAAGCGAGCTAGTGCTTGCTTCATTAAACCCTGACAGACGTCTTCTGTTTCACTGGAGACATCACAGCGGCCAAGTCGATTGGCCGTGGCAAGTGACCCTCCCTGTGGTTGAAGTGTTCTGAGGACGGGCGAGAGGGGCGCGCCATGCTCGCCTCCTGCTCAGGCTGGGAGCTTGGCTGCCTCAGTCTCCGTCAGCTCCGACTGTGGGCTGGCGCTGGGCGCTGGGCTTGCCGGGCTTGCCAAGCCAGGCCGTACGTCTCAGGTGGGGGCGAGCACTGGCCAGGATCGGAGGCTGAGGTCCCTCCGCCTGGCCTGCCGCGCCGGACTCTGAAGGAGTGGACGCTGCAGGTGAGCCCATTTGGTCGGCTGCGGGCGCGGCTTCCGTGCCACCTGGCCGTGAGGCCCCTGGACCCCCTCACCTACCCGGATGGCGACCGCGTGCTGGTCGCGGTGTGCGGCCTGGAGGACGGTGCGCGGCGGGTCCTGGATAACCTGCTGGTGAAGTACGACGAGACTCTGGAGGAGATGGCCATCGTGTCTGATAGTATCGACCCCCAGACGTCCGTGGAGGTGAACGCGCCCCTGAAGTTTGGCAAGTAAAGTGAAAACGGGTTTGGGTCCCAGGGCACGCACAGTGAACTTAACTAAATTTGGTCGACGTGCACTTTTAATTGATCCCGGCTTTCTAAACCTAATTTACAGTTGGCCCTTTCGGAAGTGCACCTTTTCCTCTGTTCTATTCTTATCTGAGCAGTATTTAAAAATTAGGTTCCCAATTTTAGAAATTTTATCCATCGAATGGACACATGATTTGGTATAATCCAGGTCAAATTACATTTGTGGAGCCGCCTGTGTTCTCCTTTATCCCGTTGTCATTAACAAAGTGGCTCATTTTTCAAGGTTGAGGTTTCTTGACAATCTATTCAGTGGTATGGCAGTCCATCTACATTTCCTCTAGCTCACAGCCTGGGAGTCTGTCCCAAAACAGCACTGTCAATAAGATGTTCCATGTATCACCTGGTTTGAGTATTTGGTTTTAGACAGACGCCTAGCTTTTTACTGTTATGTTTCCATTCCTTTTGGCCTAAGTTTTCCATGAGTAGCAAGCTTTGAAGAAAATCATGTGGTAAGCCTGCCTGGGAAACTTCAATAGTAATGCTACAAGATACGTTTCCTAGGTTTTTGGGTTCTACGTTATTTCCTAAATGGCAAGGCACTGTGTACACACACTTTTCTAGGAAGGGCTCCTCAGACTGTCACTCTTCCTGGGACTGAAGGAAGATATTGATGATGATGATGATGATTCATTCTTCCTGGGACTGAGGGAAGGCATTGATGATGATGATGATGATGATGATGATGAAGATGATAATGATGATGATAACAATAACATTTAGCATTTTAAAGATCATCTTTTATAATGCTTACAGTTGCACCAAAAAGTAGATGCAGTAGTCCTCCCTTAGGCACCGTTTGGCTTTCTCGATTTGTTACCTACCTTAACTGTCAGAGGAAAATATTAAGATATTTTGACAGATCATATTCACATAACTTTTATTAGAGTATATTGTTATAATTGCTCTATTATTGTTGTTAATCTCTTACTATGCCTAGTTTATAAATTAAACTTGATCACTGAATAACTGATATATATATAAGAAAAATACAGAATATATAGGATGTGGTACTATCTGTGGTTCAGGCATGGTGGGGTCGGGTGGGTGGGTCTTGTTTAGTGTAAGACAAATCATCAATATTTATGTGAATTCCAAATTAAATATCAGTGTTTTTAATTTTTTAAATTTGTATACAGAGATGCCTGCAGTTACATCTTAAATAAACAGCCAAGGATGGCATTTGTGATTCCTTATTTTCCAAACTTTCTTCATATACCACTGTCTTTTGTCCATGATCTTGTGGGGTTTTTTTTGTTTGTTTTGAGACTGGGTCTTACTCTGTCACACATGCTGGTGTACAGTGGCGTAAACATGGCCCACTGCAATCTTGACTTCATGGTTTTAAGCAATCTTCCCGCCTCCGCCTCCTGAGTACCTGGGACTACAGGTGCATGCTACCATGCATGGCAAATGTTTTTACTTTTATAGAAATGGAATTTTGCCACATTGCCCAGGCTGGTCTGGAACCCCTGGGCTTCAAGCAAACCTCCTTCCTTGGCCTCCCCAAGTGCTGGGGTTACAGGCATGGTGTAATCTTGTGGTTTTAATAGTATATATGGCCTAATCTTGTGGTTTTAATAGTATATATTATGTTTTTCAAAGTTGTTCCCATTTTTTTTTTTTCTTGAGATGGAGTTTCACTCTTGTCACCCAGGCTGGAGTGCAATGGCGCGATCTTGGCTCACCGCAACCTCCGCCTCCTGGGTTCAGGCAATTCTCCTGCCTCAGCCTCCTGAGTAGCTGGGATTACAGGCACGCGCCACCATGCCCAGCTAATTTTTTGTATTTTTAGTAGAGACAGGGTTTCACTATGTTGACCAGGATGGTCTTTGATGATCTGTTGACCTCGTGATCCACCCGCCTCGGCCTCCCAAAGTGCTGGGATTACAGGCATGAGCCACCGCGCCCGGCCAGTTGTTCCCATTTTTAAAAATTACTTCAAATACCTTGTGATATAGCTGCATGGTAGTATTTTCATTTTTTAGGTATGAAAGGTTAGATATAGGATTTGAAAACCTAAGTCATAATCATTCATACTGGGGAAGAGGCTTCTACAATCTTTCACATGAGAACTTACTAGAATTGCAGTCTCTTATTTCTCTTTAGATGATTTAGGCCAGTAGAAATAACTGCCCTGTTTCTAAAAACTGTCAGAAAGGCTATTGTATTTGGTCCTGTTGCCATGGTAGAAGACTCCTTACCTTTAGAGTATGCCCTTTCCAGGATTCAGTAATGTTATGGACATAACTGAGGACCTGATTTCTAGGGGTTCTAAAATGGTTTTGAGCTTATAAACTGCAGTACTAACGGTTTTTTTTTTCCTTTTTTTACTTCTAGGTTTGGATATCAAGTCATCTGGGTCTGGCTGTGTAAAAGTTCAAAGTATCGAGTGTGATAATTGTAAAATTGAAACTGAGCAGGGGACCAGCGTCCTGCAGTCTGTTAAGGTATATAGCATGTTTCTAATTTTATTTCACTATTTAAAAAAAAAAAAAAAACCCTTACACTACGAATTATGCTATCAAACTGAAGAGATTCTTGTATTTCTCAGAACATGGTCATTTATTCATCTCTCAGAAAGTCCTTGGCAAACATTTTGCCTTGAAATCAGTTCTAGTAGAGTACGGAGGTTGTAGCAGTTTTGAGGATTTTGCCTCAAATTTCTTTTTGATTTCATTTCAAAGTGTACAGTGAAATGAACAGTATTTTCCTAGTATTCTGAAATTTTACTAAATAAATTTTAGTTTTCATGAATGATTTTCTTCCATTTTATTAAAGAGTAAGGAAGAATCTTTATGCATTATAAATGTGCTTAAATATTAGATTACTTTCATCACATTTTTAATGTACCAGTTAGCGCATTATTTAAGGACTAAGTAGTTATCTGTGCAAAGTAACATGATTCATCTTGTTTTGTAATTAACATTTTTATAATTAATTAATTATTATTTATTTTTTTGAGACAGGGTCTCACTCTGTCAGCCAGGCTAGAATGCAGTATGTGATCTTGGCTCACTGTAGTCTCAACCTGCTAGGCTCAAGGGATCCTCCCACCTCAGCCTCCCAGGTAGCTTGAGACCACAGGTGTGCACCACTATGCCTGCCTAATTTTTAAAAAATTTTTTTTGTAGAGACAGGGTCTCACTGTATTGCCCAGGCTGGTCTTGAACTTATGGGCTCAAGCTATCCTCCTGCCTTGGCCTCCCAAAGTGCTGGGATTACAGGTGTGAGCTACCATGCCTGACCTATATTTAATTTTTTAAAGATTAGACTGGTGTCAGCTATAAATAGTTTGAAATCCTCTCTGATAGGTTCTAGCTTATCACTACTCTTATTGCTTCTTATATTTGCATAGTCAAAACTTGATACTTTTGTAAACTTTGAAAGCATGAAGTTTTGTTGAAGTCAGTCATCTTTGCTTCATAATATTTTCATTTTTAGATTTCCAAACACTAGTTAAAATAATTTGATGCATTTTTTTACATTTTTTTCTTTCATCCACCTTTATTTGCATATATGCCATTAGCATCTGTCTGTATATGAATCATTTCAAATAAATTTAGTAGCACAATTATCATAAAAGATTAACATTACCATCACACATCCTTTTAGCAAAATGAGTTGGTTCAGATTCTTGTAAAAGATTGTGCAATAAGGCCTTGATGTTGAATGACTGAGTGAGGATATCATAATTCCTTTTTGTCCTTAGAAATATTTTGTTCAGTCATTGATACTTAAGTTTCAGAAAACTGATCTAGACTGTTGACCTTTGAAGACCCAAGAGTTTGAGATTTCCAATTTCACAATCAAAAGTAGAATCTAGTATACTGCTGTCTGTCTCTGCATTTATGTTTGGATTAATCTGATTGTTCTGAAAGATCTTTCTCTGTTGATTTTCTTTTTCTTTGCCATTGTGGGCTTAAAGTTAAAAACGGTTTTTTAGCCTTGGCACTATAAACCTTTTTGGCTAGATAATTCTTTGTTGTGGAGCCTATCCTGTGCAGTATAGGATATTTAGCACCATCTTTGGCCTCAACCTTCTAGATGCCAATAGCATGCTCCTCAGTTGTGACAAGGAAAAATATCTCCAGACATTGTCAAATGTCTTCTGGGGACAAAATTATCTCCAGTCGACAGCCATTGCTTTATACAAGTTGATCATTCTTCTGTTTTTTTCTTATTTTTTTTTAAACATAATTGGGAATAATTTATGAATATAATGATGAAATAACTCCTAGGATGATATATTATGTAATATGTAATAAAACATATAAAAAATAAGAACACTATTATCCCATAATGTATTTTAGATTTATAAGCGTCCAGTGGACTGATAATGATAATTACAAGATAGAATGAGTTTTATTCTACTTTTTTTAAAAGTAAGTATATTTTCTGTTTGTTCCTTGAAAGAGCTCTAAGAAATAACAGAAATCATGAAATAACAGTTCTTACAAATGAAATAGCTCAAAACAAGAAATTCAAGAACTAAAATTAGGCCTGTGTATACTAATGGTATACTAAGGGTTAAGAGAATTATCCTTGAGGTCTTGGGATTTAACTAACTTAAATTCACAAATCAGAACACTTTGGTAAAATATCTGGTTTAAGTTTTAAGTATTGTATAATATCATTACCTTGAATTAGTGATCACCTGTTAATATGTTTATCTTCCACTAACTTAAGGACTTAAAACATAGTTGATCTACATAATAATTTTTTTTTTTTTTTTTTTTTTTTTGAGATGGAGTCTTGCTCTGTCACCCAGGCTGGAATGCAATGGCACGATCTCAGCTCACTGCAACCTCCGCCTCCCAGGTTCAAGTGATTCTCCTACTTCAGCTTCCCAAGTAGCTGGGATTACAGGCTCCCACTATCATGCCCAGCTAATTTTTATATTTTTGTAGAGATGGGATTTCAGCATGTTGGCTAGGCTGGTCTTGAACTCCTGACCTCAGGTGATCCGCCCACCTTGGCCTCCCAAAGTGCTGGGATTACAAGCATGAGCCACTGTGCCTGGCCCTACGTAATAAAATGTTTATAGCAATAATAATAACTACTGTTAATAAGTCCTTATTATGTACCACAAATCTTAGCTAAGCCTTCATTTAGTCCTTGAATTTTCTCCATTTTATCAAGGAAGAAACTAGAGGGCACCAAGAGATTGAGGAACTCACTTGAGTTCACATAGCTAAAAAGACTGAGCTGGGATTTGACCTCAGATCTTTATGATTTCCAAGCTCATGCTCTTTCCATCTTTATTGTCCAAAGAAAACATATGATAAGACCACATTTGTACAGCATCCTTCGGGAATAAGATAAGTGAATTTTTTAGGCAATAGACCCTTAACTAATTGAATTTCATACATTTGGATTTTTTAAATGCAGTATAATTTATTTTCTAAATAATTTTTGATTTATTTAAACATTTAACTATTTGATTTTATGTTTTTAAAAATTCTATAATCAACTTCACATTTTTGGGGGAATTAAATGAGCCTTAAATTATAACAGTAGCTCTTATTATTTTTGAACCTTAGAACTTCTTAGAAAATCTAATAATTGTCTTCTTAAGAAAAAAAATGCACATGTATATGAAATTTTGCTTACAGTTTTATGAGTTCATGTGAGCTTGGTTAAGAGTTCTTGATTTAAAACAAGTGTGCTCCTCCTGTCACCCAAGATGCTGAAAGGAAAGAAAGCCAAGGGGAAGAAGGTGGCTGTAGCCCCTGCTGTCATGAAGAAGTAGGAGGCCAAGAAAGTGGTGAATCCCCTGTTTGAGGAAAGGCCTAACATTTTGGCACTGGACAGGATATCCAGTCCCAAAGATATCTCACCTGCTTTGTGAAATGGCCCGGCTATATCAGGTTGCAGTGGCAGAGAACTATCCCCTGTAAGTGGCTGAAAGTGCCTCCTGCAATTAACCAGCTCACTCAGGCCCTGGACTGCCAAACAATTACTCAGCTGCTTAAGCTGGCCCACAAGTACAGACCAGAGGCAAAGCAAGAGTAGAAGCAGAGGCTGTTGGCCCAGGCCAAGAAGAAAGCTACCAGCAAAGGGGATGTCCCTACTAAGACCACAGGTCCTTTAAGCAGGAGTTAACACCATTACCACCTTGGTGGAGAACATGAAAGCTCAGCTGGTGGTGACTGCGCATGACATGGATCTCATCAAGCTGCTTGTCTTCCTGCCTGCCCTGTGTCATAAAATGGGGGCCCCTTACTGCATTATCAAAGGAAAGGCAAGACTGGAACGTCTAGTCCACAAGAAGATCTGCATCACTGTTGCCTTCCCACAGGTTAACTTGGAAGACAAAGGAGTTTTGTCTAAGCTGGTGGAAACTATCAGGACTAATTACAATGACAGATATGATGAGATCCATCATCACTGGGGAGGCAATGACCTGCATCACAAGTCTGTGGTTCACCTTGTCAAGCTTGAAAAGACAAAGGCTAAAAAACTTGCCACTAAACTGGGTTAAATGTACACTGTTGAGTTTTCTGTACATAAAAATAATAAAAAAAATTTTTTAAGTGTTTTGGGGATAATCTTTTCAAAGGTTTAATCACATATTTTGTTGGGAAAAATAGCAGAGGAGTAAGGACTTACAGAGTGCCTACATAAATTGGTTATAAGTAACATATAAACAAGGAACAACAAACTGCAGGAGGCCTCTGAGGAGGGAGGCCTCTTCATGTTCCAGTGTAGGGTGACCTAGGTACTGTTACCATAAACATTGTGCCCAAGGATGTAAAACCCCTTCATAGCACTATGACATAGCCAGACTTGTAGGCTCCTTGTAAGGTCTATGTTCCACCAGGTGTACATAGATAATAAACTAAAGATAATCACGTGTTCTTGTTTCGTGAAACTCCCAAACCGCCACTGTTATCAGTCCTTAGGATGACATACCAGTTCCAGCTGACTGATTCACTTCCGGCTCACTGATTCATCCCACCATCACTTCACCCTACCCTGTAGATCAAAGTAATTGTAATCAATAAATAGTGTGGATGATCAGAGCTTGGGGCCTTCACTATCACCTCCAGAGTAATGAAGTGATGGCCCCCTGGTCCCACTTTTTCTCTTCATCTGTCTTTCATTCCTTTGTTGCCACCAAACTTGGGGTACCCACAGGTGATATAGGGCTGGCTCCCTACAATATTTGATAAGGAGTGTATTAAATATAATTTGACTTCAGACTCATGTCTCTGGGCATAACATAGTTAACCATGCGATAATACTTTTTTTTTTTTTCTTTTTAAAGACAGGGTCTTGATGTGTTGCCCAGGCCAGAGTGCAGTACCATGATACTAGCTCACTGCATCCTCAAACTCTGGGCTCAAGCAGTCCTCCCAATAGCTGGGAAATACAGGCATGTGCCACCATGCCTGGCTTTTTTTTTTTTTTCTTATTTGTTTTTTAGAGACAGGGTCTTTTTATATTGCCTGGGCTGGTCTCGAACTCCTGGCCTGAAGTGATCCTCTTACTTTGGCCTCTCAAAATTCTGGTATTACAGGTGTGAACCACTGCACCCCAGCCCAGATGTTTTTAAGAATGAGTAATTTTGCACTGTTCACTAAATTTTCTGAAATTCACTCCCAGGCTATTTTGCCTAAGGTTTTACTATTTTTCCTCCTAAGTAAAACAACTAGAAGTCATATAATTGTTTTGAATTTTTTTGTCTCCCTGCTCTTTAGATATTTCTCTACAGTTGTTGGTCATGATATTGGTGAGTTTCCTCTGTTATTTTTCTTCCTCTGCAGCTTCTGCTATTTACCTATTATGTCTTTATAATTGTAACAGAACTAAACACATATATAATGATTAAGGAAAAATAAACTACTCTAAAAAAATAGACCAAACATCTAATGGCTTGTATATAATTTGAGTTTATTTCTTACTTGTGTTGAGGTGTGTGGGTGGATTTTTTTCATTCAGTGATGCTAGGTTCCTTCCATCTTCTGGCTCTGCCAACTTTTAGAGCCTTGTTATACTCTGGTCCCACTTGGTGGAATGAGAAGAGCACAGAGTTGTGCTTCTAAAAGCACCAACCTGGAAATGGCATATAGCATTTCCACTTACATTCTGTTGGTAAGAACTTAAGAGGTAAAGGAAGTTGGAAAATGTGGTCTTGCCATAGGTCAAGCTATACTGCTTTTACTTGGGAAAAAAAAAATGGATTTTTGTGAGCCAGTAATAGTGTTTACTGTAGTTCCCAAGTCCAAAATCAAGACACACACTCACACATACACACACGCACGCCACGCACACACGTGCGCACACACACACACACACACACACACAATTTTTTGTTTTCTGTCTTGCAGAAGAGGCTAACTGGCTTGTGACTATTGTTCTGTGGTTGGAGGCATTTTTACTTAGTTACAGTTTCTGGGTTGTGCTAGAAGGTTTAATTGGGCTGACCACTCCAGCCTTAAGCATGTGGGCTTTGGAATCATACAGAGCTTGAATCTAATTGTTACTTTAGATTTTTTTTTTTCTATGTCACCCTGATAAAGTGATTTACCTTTCCAAATTGTATTATTCCTCTCTAAAATGGGAAAAATGTAATACTTATCTCTCTGGTTTGTCATGAGGATTAAATGATAGTTCATGTAGCTAACATGGTGTCTAGTGCAAAGAAAATGCCAAATAAGTGATAACTGTTATTGTTATTAATAATGATAAATAGTAACAATGATTATTATTGTCATCTTCATCATTGTGAATATTTAGTTAGCTGGTCATAGTGATTTTTGATTCCCAAGTCCTTCTTCAGTGAAGCTACCAGAATAGCCAAGTATCTCTTCTTTTGCCCTTTGAGTCCAGGTGGCTTATTTAATCCCTGTAACAGCAGTTGACATTTTTTTCTAGTTGCTGTCATTATTTGAAGCAGTGAGTTTCTGTTTCATTCCTTATTCTTTTGTTGCTTTGTCAGTATTAATACAGAAATGTTGAAATGTTTCACTAGTGTAAGTCAAACTTACTCTTTTTCACTATATGTATTTTTTGAATTTGTCTTTCAGAGTCAACAATTGCATGTTCAAACAAAAGGAGGCAAAGTGATCTGTCTGGGAACAGTTTATGGAAATATAGATATTCAGGCATCAGATAAAAGTGTAAGATTGAAACTTTCTTTCTTTCTTTTTTTTTTTTAGTAATTGCAACTTTGCTTCCATTTGGCTTACCAAGTGGGTAGGTTCTACAAAGTTCGTGGTATAACATTCCCTTTTTAATGCATTTTAGTTCATAAATAAATTCAAATTTGAAATTGAAGTGATTAAATAATATACAACTTAGGCTTTAGTTTGTGGTTTAATAGGTAGTTCCTAGTCTGGAATCAATAAAAAATGCTTAATATTTCACTCTAGCTCTGAAAATATTTTTATTTTTATGATCATAGATTAAAATAGATCATTAAGTAATATCACCAGTAACTGGATTGGATTTTTCTTGTGTTAGGTTTGAGTATTTTCTAAGACCTTTTTACTTCACCCTTAGGCAAACTGAAGGATGTTTCAAAATTCAACTTTCTTCAGTATTTTCCACAAGGTGGCACCATTAGCTTTACTGCTTTCTCAGAGCTTTTTTTGAAAGTAGCTATTGGGATTTTAGTTGTTATAGGAAGATAGTTTGTATTTTTTAATCAACTCTTTTTGTAGCCTTTGGTTATTTAGGGTAGTATTAAGAGCAAAGGTATAATTTTGGAATTATAAGTTGTAATTTAAAAACATGATTGATATTGTTATATCTTTGGGAAAAAGTTTCATTTTATTTTACACTTACACAATTTGCAAGAGCCTTTTTGTTTCTTATAAATTTGTTAAATTTCATAGTCATCATGCCATTGCACTCCAGCCTGGGTAAAAAGAGTGAAACTCCATCTCAAAAAAAAAAAAAAAATTTCATAGTCAGCTTTATTTTCAGATAATTGGTGGGGATGAGTTGCAAGCATATTTTGTATGTAGATTATTGTTAGCATAATTAAACAAGGTAGATTATAACAGTAATTGTTTCTGTTTTTTTAAATCTTCCATCACCTTTCTCTTAGGCTGGTTGTTTAATCCTAAACATTTAAAAATACTCTGTAAATTAAACTAGGAAAGTGTTGAAAGATACTGTGTGACCTTATGCAGCAGCTTTTTGAGATGGCATTTAGTTTTACTTCTTAAGATTGCTATAATCTTGGAGGTGCAAGATGGAAGTTAGACAAGTTTGCAGCCCCTTCAAACTCAGTAAATGATGGCTAATGTTATTGAAATGATATAAGTTACTAGAATATTACAACACTTACAATGAAATATAAGTATCAGAGAATTTAATATCTCAATCATTTGCTACTTCAAATATTCTGGCCACTGTTTTCTCTCAGTTATTTGTTGCAACTTTTATGGTTTATTGAGTATTCGTGTATTTTACTTGCTATTATATAATTTTATTTATTGATTGAGCTTTGTTAAGTACTAAAGAATCAGTCTAGGGTTTCTTTTTTCTATTTTTATTACATATAGTATTGATTTTTAATGTATATTTCTAAGTTTGTAATTTTTATAAAACATATAAAATAAATACTTGTGAAATCTATTAACTTTTAATACACAACTTTCATAGAAATGTGATTTGGATATTTGAGAGACAACATAGTGAATTAGTTAAGAGCACAGAACATATGAGAGCCAAACTACCTGTGTTTGAATTCCAGCTCAACCATTCACTAAGCTCTATAACTGGACAAAGTACTTAACCTCTGTATGTCTCAGTTTTTTTGGAAAATGGGATAATAGTAATAAAACTAATTCAAAAAATCCTCTTTTAAGAGGATTAAATAAGTTAATACAGGTAAAGCACTTAAAACAATGTCTGGCACACAGCTAAGTCTAATGTAATAACACAATGATGATGATAAAGGTAAAGGAATCACAGGAAAGATAACTTGACCGGTTCTAGACCTACCAGTTAGCTTCCCTGAGACTCAGTTTCATTGGCCAGAAAACAAGACGGTAATACTTACTTTGTCTACTTAACAAGATTGTTAGAATCAAATGAGCACTATAAATAAAAGCATCATTATTCTACATGTTGTTTTTCTTTCTTTTTTTTCTTCTGTCAGTGTCAATGGTCAGTAATACCTGGTTTTTTAAAATTGTGTTAATTTCAGTACCCAAGTTTAGTTTTCTAACTTAACAGAGAACACAGAAACCCATTTCATCTGACTATTTGGTGAGTCAATGACATAGTTTTCCTCTCAATGTGAGCTACAAAGCCACAGTACTTCCTTAAAACTTGGGTTTTCATTATTTGTAAGAACCATGTATAATATGTGTGTGTGTGTGTGTGTGTGTGTGTGTGTGTGTGTGTGTGTGTATGTATATATTCATAACTAAATTAATGAAAATTTTTTCTTTTCGTGTAGAAAAGAAAATTTATAGCAATACCTCTGTCACGAAGGTATTGATTTTTAAATGTACTTTTTGTTCTGTCATTAAATAGGTAAATTTAAATTCCTTCCATTTCGTTTGGTGGAAAGCTACTGTGTTATTAGATGTCAAGTGGAAAAGTTCTAGAAATAATAGTATATTCACTACATTAACATACTAACGGACAAAAATCATGATAGGTCAATAGAATAAAATAAAGTATGTGCTAAAATTAAAAACCCATTCGCGATTTAAATAGCAAAAGTAATAAAGTTGAAATAGAAGGGAATGTCCTTAATCTGTTAAAAATTATTTTTAAAATATCTATAGCAAACATCATGCTTAATGGTGACACGCTGTAAACTTTTCTTTTGAGAGCAGCAATAAGACAAGGATGCCTGCTGTCCCATTGATTCTACTAGCTCTTATTCACTGTTGAATTGGAGGCCTGATACAGATGGTTAAGGCAAGAAAATAAAGAAAAAACAGGGGAAAAATTATCAATATAAGGACTGGAAGGGAGGAAATGAAGCTGTCACTTGTAGACAGTATAATTACACATATAGAGTTTTTAAAAATACAGATAAATTATTAGGATTAGTGAGTCTAGCGAAGTTGTTGGATTAAGATCAATTACAAAGTCAATTAGGATCAAATGAAATTTTAAAAGATACCTTGTACAATAGCACTTAAAAAATATATAAAAGGAATAAATCTAACAAAAGATTAAGAATTTTTAATAGAACATATAAAACATTATTGAGAAAAATTAAATGAGACCTAAGTCAATGGGGGAATATGTTAGATCTATTTCATATTCTGAAGAGAATGCACTATTGCTCACACTCCTATAATTAGAGGTAGGGAATCAGAGTCAATAAAGTGATTGTGTACTAGGTAGCAACATTTTATGTAGTTACTCACTAATTCCACAGGTAGGATTTTGGCTTTTTACCAGTCTTTGTTTTACAATGAACTGATTAGTCTTTCTCTTACTAGGCTGTGACCATAGATAAACTGCAGGGAAGTTCTGTTACTATATCTACCGAAGATGGTTTGCTGAAAGCCAAGTACCTTTATACAGAATCATCATTTCTGTCTTCTGCTGCTGGGGATATTACATTAGGAAGTGTTCATGGTAAGCTGACAAAGGCATAATACATCTCAGACTTTACACATAGCATAAATTTGAAGAGATCTCAACTAGTCTCTGTAGTTGAAAAAGGATCAGGAAACTGGCCTTTAAATAATTAATTGCAGACTAACCATCTTTTTTAAAAAACCATAAAAATAAAATGACTCAAGCTAATTTAATTTTATTTGGGCAAGAGACTAAAGATTATGCTGTTATATATGGAACTAATAGTAATTCTAATTTTTAATGCATTTTCTTTTTCTCTTTTTTTTGACACAGAGTCTTGCTCTGTTGCCCAGGCTAGAGTGCAGTGGCACAATCTCGGCTCACTGCAACCTCCTCCTTTCAAGGTCAGATGATTCTCCCACCCCAGCCTCCTGAGAAGCTGGGACTACAGGTGTATGCCACCACGCCTGGCTAATTTTTGTGTTTTTAGTGGAGCTGAGGCTTTGCCATGTTGCCCAGCCTGGTCTCAAACTCCTGGGCTCAAGCGATCCACCTGCCTTGGCATCCGAAAGTGCTGGGATTACAGGCATGAGCCATTCTGCACCCAGCCTGTGTTTTCTCATAGTAGGAAACAAATAGCAAGAAAATATATCCAGGAGATGAAGTAAAAGCAGTGTTAGGTAAAGATGAGTACTGAGTGATTGCTTTTATGTTAAGAAAGCTGAGGGTTAAATTAATGAAACATTTGGTGGAATGTAATTATAGCAACTCTGATACTAATTTTGTTTTAAATGTTTTCTGTGAGTTTGTACTGACACCACCTTTTCTCAGCACCCTGTTGTTTCCATTTTCTTGGATTAAATATCCTCTTGTGATTTCTAAATCCTGTCTCTGCAAGAAATATTACATAGTTAATGTTTGTATTATTGAAAGAAAATTAGAAAAGTATAATGATGAGGTAATATGGCAAAGGGCATGCTGGTGTTCAGTGTCACTCAGCCTGCTTCTTAAATTTCCATAGAGCAGATGATTCAAATCCAGGTGTTTTCTGAAATATATACAGATAGAATTAATAATCACTAATCCTAGCAAGAAGTACAGTGTATAAACATCTGCTAAATGCCTTTTGGGCCATATTCCAGGAAGTATAGATTTGGACTTTTTCCATATATAGTCCACTCACTTCACCTCTATATACCAATATTCAGCTTTACTATAGAGGTGAAGTGAGTGGACTATATATGGAAAAAGTCCAAATCTATACTTCCTGGAATATGGCCTATATTCAGATAAAACCTGAATATAGGCAAAACCCTCAGATTTTAGCTGTGAGCAAGAGTTATTCAGTGGTATTAGAAAGCATGGTTAGTGCTAACCATACTATGTAGTTTTCTAGAAAGAAACAGAGAGAGCGAGAGAGAGAGAGAGCGAGAGAGAGAGAGTGCACAACTTATATGCTTGAAATAGTTCTTGAGCCTCAATTTAATGGTTAAACCTCAAGCATTCTTACAAGGTTAAGGTATTATTTGAACCTAAAATAGATTAAGTACATATGGAGCTGTATCCAGATGAAGCAAATGGTTTTGTTACTTATTCATTTATTTATTTTTTATTCAGTTGTACATTAAGTAGATCTGGTAACTTGTAACTCTTCATATTTCAATAGCGACTTTTATATAAGCATTGCATTTCTAACTATCTTAATCATAATGAAAAGTACTGTGCTTAATATATTTAGTAGCTTTTAGTGGAGAAACAATTCCTTATCAAGTCAGATGCGAATTAACATCCACGGGAAAAAGCAGCTCTTCTCTGCAGTGCTTTATACCATGTTTACGCTAAATTCATAATGTTTCATTTCTTTGCATTATGTTAAGTTAGATAAATTGAATTTGGTACAGTTTATCATTAATTGCCTACATGGTAGTAAAACAGGTGGACTTTTTTGAAGCAGTCCTCAAAGTACGCTAGTGCTGTTGATTACATAAAGTAGCTAAAATGGAAATACATTGCTAAGAAAGAGTTAATTCCTTAGCCTTAATAAAGCCTTTTTATATTTACTGACTTTTAATACAAAATCATATACCTTTCCTTAGCTGTTTTAAATCTAGGTCCTCTTTTGGACTATTGTTTCAGATTGAATTTCCCTGAAGGCAGACACTCTGAGATGGAAATTTGAGCATAGCACATTTACTAGGGAGGCCTCTTGGGAGCAATGCCATGTAAAGGAAGAAAGCCAGTTTTACATGGGAGAAGTTGGACTATGATACAGTTTCAGTAACCCACATGGAGAGCTCTGAAGCTGGGATGGTCTCTAAGAGTTGTCTCTAGCTGGACTGAGAGGAGCTGGACGTTTATATCCCCAATCATTAGATACAAGCTGTCCCAGGAAGGAGTATGATCTTGGGCCGAAGTGGCTCATTTTAGCTGAGGCAATTCCCAAAGAGGGCTGAGAGCTGAGGGCTGTCTGCCAGCAGTACTCCCAATAACTAGGAAAATAAGCCCTTCAGTTATAATGGGGGATCTGGATGAGGAATACAGCATCCACTATAGTTATATTTATTCATTCATTTGACATATCTATTGACCACTTACTGTGTGCCAGATTTCCAGGCACCAAAGGTGTAAAGTTCGGCAAGAGATGAAACTTATCGTTAAAGAACTCAGAGCAGAGTAGAAGGATTAAATATACTTTCTTATTTTCTGTCACTACCATTCCCACTGGGATGCTATGACCCACCTCATTTCCAGTGGTCCATTATCAACTTGCCTCAATGCAGTGAACTATTTTAGCTGTTTCTCTCAGCTTCTTTTGTAATACTAGTACAGCAGAAAGGAGTAGGAGAAGGGAAAATTTAATCCAGTTTCAAATTACAGTTACTTTCACAGAAGTAACTGTAGAAAAGCTTCCATGTTCAGCCTTGCTTTCTCCACCTAGTTTTTGACCCTCGCTCTGCTTTGGTTTTTCAGTATATACAAGAGAGAAATAAGACAGGAAACCCCTCTTTGTTCTATAGTCACACCCAGTGACTCGACTTTTAAAAAATCACCCTTGAGGCACATCTAAGTTTCTTGTCTTCTCTCCCATGTCACCTCTAGTTCCATCCTTGTCCTAAGGAATTATATCAACATGCTTTTGGAATTTGTAGTTTGGGGTTTGGGATGGGAGGGGTACAGGAGAGGAGGCAGTGTTTTAGTCTCACATCCTGATAGGTAAGACGATTAGAGTCATGGCTGGTGAAAGTAAGTCCCAGTTTTCTAGCTTCTGGAATTTTGGTGGCAGTTATTTCTCCAAAGATATTCCCAACCTAGAACTCTGGATATATATTTCAGTGAGTTCCTTGTTCTAAATGCTGATGGTTATATAACACAAATTAGGTGTATATTTTGGCTATTTTTAAACGAACTGGCTTGAGAATCTTAAAACTTGTTTTTATGGAAAAATATATTGCTATTTATAAACATCTGACTTACAGAAAAACAGAATATATGCATTCTTGTTTAGCATTTATTTACTTTAGCTTCTTTTTTCTTACGCAAGGCTTAAACTGATTTTTTTTTCCAGGTAGAGCTGAAAAAAATCTAACATATAGATGTTGTTAAAACCATTTATACACAATTACAATGCAGTCACTTTCTTTTTGGTAGATTTTTTTTTTTTTTTTTTTTTTGAGATGGAGTTTCGCTCTTGTTACCCAGGCTGGAGTGCAATGGCGCGATCTCGGCTCACCGCAACCTCCGCCTCTTGGGTTCAGGCAATTCTCCTGCCTCAGCCTCCTGAGTAGCTGGGATTACAGGCACGTGCCACCATGCCCAGCTAATTTTTTTGTATTTTTAGTAGAGACGGGGTTTCACCATGTTGACCAGGATGGTCTCGATCTGTTGACCAGGATGGTCTCGATCTCTTGACCTCGTGATCCACCCGCTCTTTTTGGTAGATTTTACAAGTAGAGTTTGGAGCCTTTGTGCCAGTGGGTGTGTGGGTGGATGGTTGAAAGCAAACATGTATTGAGTACCTAAATTGGCCGGCCCCTTTTACTTAATGAACAATTGGCTATTTACAGATAAGGAACAATTAGACTTAGAAATGTCTAATTGTTTACTCACAACTCCACAAGTTAATTAGTGGAATAGCAAGGATTTGATCCTAGTTTCTTGGCTTTCTAGATGTTTTTAAATAGTGAACTTGATTGCAACTGAAAATTCCATCACTTTGAGGGCTTCCTAGCTCACTCTAGAGATGCTTCCTCCAGGAAGACGGTACTGTAACACAGATGCACTGCTTCAGCTATGTTCTACATTATAACTTCCTTGAGTTTCAGGACAATTATCGTGCTTTATGATCGAAAATGTAGATGTTCCTTCCATACAGTGTTTGGGCTTAGCTCCATCGTGGCATTCAGGAACTGAACTCCTTCCATAAGTGATGGTGCTGTCTTAAGTGTGTGGCTTCTAAGTCTTTCATGAAAGGAAGGGCATGAAATTTATTTTTTGTCTGTATTTTCTATTTTTTTATATACCCTGATGGGGAAGCAACATCTAACATATTAGTGCTGAGTACTTAGAGCATATCCATTAATGAGGAAAAGAGTAATGAAAGGAGCAATATATCTTTCCTGGCCTTGCAAGTTGATTCCTATCTATAAAAAAGGAAAATAATTTATTCTAAATGTTTTTTCAAGTGAAATTTCTAATTATAGCTAACTATTTTTTATAGATAAGAAACTGAGTAAGCTAATTGGCTAGTCATATTTACTATTTGTATAGTTGTTTGAATCACATCTACTGAGTATGTATGCCTTCTAATACAAAATAGTTTATTCATTAACTTAATAAATATTCACTTTCTGGCAATGGGAATCTAGTGGGAGCATAGGTACTTGGATAGCTTGTATTTAGATGTAAAATTTTATGACAGTTTACTATCCTTCAAAATAGTCAAAAATTAAATTTGGCTTTATATGGATATTTTATTATATTCTGACATTTGAATATCAATGTTTTTTAAAGAATGCTATGCATGTAAAATAAAATACATCTATTTATATGTATTCTCC